GGACATATGGTCCTCCACATATGGTACCTCAACCACCTCTAGGAGTGATCCCCTAGCACAGAATCAGGAGTAATCCCTGAGTACCACCAAGTGTGATCAATAATAATAGCACTGTAGCACTGTCCTCCTGTTGTTCATCAACCAGTAACGTCTCACAATAGTGAGACTTGTTACTGTTTTTGGCATATCAAATACACCACACGGAGCTTGCCAGACTCTGCCATGCGGGAGGAATACTTTCAGTAGCTTGCTGGGCTCTCTGAGAGGGACGGAGGAATAGAACCCCAGATCAGCCACATACAAGGCCCTACCCCTGTGCTATCACTCCAGCCCAACAACAATAACAACAACAACAACAACAACAACAATAATAATAATAATAATAATAATAATAATAATATCAAAGGGGCCGGACTGATACTGCAGTGGAGAGGGCATTTGTCTGGCATGCAGCCAACCTGAGTTCAATCCCCTGCATCCCATATGGTCCCCTGAGCATCGTCAGGAGTTATTCCTGAGTTTAGAGCCAGGAGCAACCCCTGAGCATCACCAGGGTGACCCAAAAAGTCAAAAAATATAAATTAAAAAAAGGACATCAGAGGACCAGAGATATAATAGGGGGTAAGGCACAGGTGTTATATGCCCCTGAACTAGACACCACGTGATTCCTAGGTGCCCTGAACACCACTTTGAAGACTGCCTAAAATTTTAGAAAAATTATAATAATTTAATAACTCAAGAATGAGAAGCAGTTATAAAGAAAATGTTAATCTATTTAAGTTTAGGATCAGGAATATAGCTCCATCAGAGGCAGAGCATTTGCCTTGTATATGTGAAGCCTCACTTAAAGGACAGTATTGCAAATATAGTAATAAAGTAGAAAAAAGGGATTTATGGGTCCCGAGATGGTTCAACAGACTGCAGCTCATGCATCTCACTGGAGAATCCCAGTCTCAACTCCTCACTACCTCTTGACCCTAAAGTACTGCCAAGGGAGTAATCCCCGAGCAATGATTCCCTAAGTAGCCACAAAGCACTGCTGGGTGTGACTCAGAAACAAACTAAAATGCTCATCAAAATTAAATAGATTAAAATGATGTTAAAGTTAAGGAGGAGAGGAAGGGAGGGGAGGAGAAAGAGGAGGGAGGAGTAGAACAGGAGAGGAGGAAGAGGTAGGAGAGGAGGGGAGGATTTAAAAAAAGGGGAGGAAAAGGAGGAGAGAAGAGGAGGGTAGAGAGGAGGAAGAGAGGAGAAGGAAAAAAACGGTCACTAAGGGTGATAGATGGAGCTGATTTTATTTTCACCCACTTTTCTGAATGTTCTGCAATGATTGTATTTATTTGATGATCAAGAAATGGATTGTACAAATTGAAGATGTGATATCAGATTCATGCCAAACACTACACAAAAACATGCACCCATTGGAGGGAACCTCTCTGCTCTCATAGCTTTTAAGAGAAGTGATTCCTGGGGCTGGAGCGATAGTGGGTATAGGGCGTTTGCCTTGCACGTGGCAGATCCAGGTTCGATTTCCAGCATCCCATATGATCCCCTGACCACCGCCAGGAGTGATTCCTGAGTGCAGAGCCAGGAGTAACATCTGAGCATCGCTGGATATGAACCCCCACCCCCCACCCCTTACCCCCCCAAAAAGAGAGAGAAAAGTGATTCCATCCACCTCACCCAGGAACTAAAAAATCCTTCAGGGTTTTAAATCTTTGACAGTATGAACAACTCGAAGTTCTCTACGTGCTAGGGACACCTTCTGCCTTAACACTTTCCGGCCAGTCCCATAGCAAGTCACATTCGACAAAATCTTAAAGAGGGGCTGGGGCCCCAGGTAACATAATGCTCCCAGAACATATCTGTGGCTAACAGGTGCAAAAAACCTCCACTCATCTAAATATAAATGGCCCCCAGCACTTTGGAAAAATCTTTCCCTCTTTCTATTTTAATCAGACGAAAGAATGTTCTCTGTCTTGACTCTCTCAGATACTGGTTATTTTTATTTACAGTCACTTGACAATAATTACTAAGAAAGGGAAGTTGTGTGACCCTTCTCCTACATCCTAGATAGAGATGAGATCTAGGTTTTTGAAAAGTTTTTAAATTGAGGAGATAAGACAGACATTTTTTAAAAACTATCAGGATGAGCAAACAGCTGTAATGTTAACAAATGCATAAAGAAACACTGTCTAATATTTAAAGCCAGAAATAGGACTCAATTTTTAATCCATGGAGTGGAAATTATTTTGGGAACACAGAAAACTCTTCAACTTTGCCAGTTTTACCATCCTGTTGCCTTTTATTTGCATGCTCTAAGCCCTGCTTCAGGGTCTAACTCAATATCACTTTCATTGCCACACCTATACAATCTTCCTCTGAACTCCTCAAACACAAACCTTTACTTCCCATTTATCCCACATCCCTATCTAGAAGCCTAAGGGACTAAGATTGTAATCCACCCACCTGTGTATATGTCTTGCTTACAAAACAGGGTGTAAATTTCCACTTTCAGTTTCTTTGTTACTTTGTTTCTTTGTTACTACACAAGGAGAGGACAAGGCAAGATCACAGGGTTAATCTGCCTCTCACTTCTGGACCTCAGGACTGCTCTCATTTCTACTGGAACAGTCCCGTCCATGCTGGTATCCCAGTTCTATTCTGATCCAAAAGGACACTGTACTCTTTTTCAAATGCATAGACACCACACTCCTACCTACCCCAAGACTGTGGTAGGCCGCAACTAAGTTTAGTCACACTCTCCAGTCGAAAATAGTCCTCTAAACCACAGGAGAAATTATTACCCCGGGTTTCCTCGATCTAGGTGAGAAAGACACTTGCCAGCCGCAGTGCTATCAAGTTGTACTTAGTTGTCCCAACTCCTTCCCGGTTTGGTTCAAATCACCCTTTGCTTGCACACAATCTGTGAAACCTGTTGGCTCTTATTGGTGCCCATTCCTCCAGCATGCTCACTTGCATTGGAGAAAACCTAGCCAGCACTTGGCTTAATAAATCTCCAGCCTACTCAGCAGCTAATAAAAGGAAGCTTAGACTTGGCAAAGGTAATATTGCATAAAGACTATTTGCCAAACACCTACCAAAAGCTGATTTCACAGGTGGTCCTTTATCTGATCTGCTCAGTGAAAAAGGAAGGCGGCTAATTTGGGTTGACACTCAGAGAGACGGTATCTGGGGAGGCCCTGCAGAGTGCTAGAACCCTGTATTGGGTTAGTCAGCATTTCAGTCTTATAGTCCCATCAAAATCAGAAACTGCTCTTATATTTCTTAAGGCAGAAATTCTCAAATGCCATGTTCACCATAATGATTTTTGTTATAAAACTAAGTATTTCCAAGGTAAGGAACAGGCCTCTTACTCTGAGGTTATGTCTGTCCTATAATTCGTTATTACAACTGTTAATTAGTACCTTCACTGTCACTGTCACTGTCCTCCCGTTGTTCATCGATTTGCTCGAGCGGGCCCAGTAACGTCTCCATTGGAGACTTTGTTGTTACTGTGTCTGGCATATCGAATACGTCAAGGGGAGCTTGCCAGGCTCTGCCGTGTGGGCGAGATACTCTCGGTAGCTTGCAGGGCTCTCCGAGAGGGGCGGAGGAATCGAACTCGGGTCGGCCATGTTGGCTGCGTGCAAGGCAAACGCCCTACCGCTGTGCTATCGCTGCAGCCCTAATTAGTACCTTAAATAATAATTCATCGATTTCCATTTCATCATCCTGTTATTCGTCGATTGCCTCGAGCAGGCCCCAGTAACGTCTCTTTCATCCTAGCCCTGAGATTATATTCAAGGCTCTTTAGGAGAAAGAGACCCATCATTATAATAATAATAATAATAATAATAATAATAAAAGCATAACAGAAGATGGCAGGGTTGTGCTAATGTCTTTACTTGGCACTTTAGAAAGATAACAACCCCTTATCCATTTCCAAAATTCATTAAAACCAGGAAATTTAGGGCCTGGAGGAATACTACGGGGGTAGGATGCTTACCTTGCATCCATCCTGGCACCACATATGATCTCCTAAGCATTGGCCTGAGTGATTCCTGAACACAAAGCCAGGACTAAGTTCTGAACACCACCAGGAGTGGTCCCCAAACCCAAATCAAAGACAAATAGAAAAGAAAAACTAGGAAATCTAGCACAGGACTGAACACCAGGTATTATATGCACATACATTTCAATCCATCTCCTGTAAGGGAAGGTGTTTCTTTTCTCTGCTAAGCCTAATATGCTTTGTTTGTTTTTGTGGGAGGGGGTTGGACACACTCTGCAGTGCTCAGAGCCTGGGTGTTGAGTTAATCAAGGATGCTGGAGGGCAAAACCGGGGTTTCATGTATGCAAAGCAAGTGTTGAGCCTGGCCCTAAACTCTTTATATTTCGACCTCAAGGTCTATCAAGAGATCAGGGATGTCCTGGAGCTTACCAATAGCTGATTTCACAGGTGGTCCTATATCGGGTCTGCTCAATGAGAAAGGAAGGCGGCTAATTTTGGTGCGGGGAAGGGAGGAAGGGTCCTCTGTGAATCCTATAGTGAAGGCTATAGTGTAAGACCGGGGGGCGCGGGGGTGGGGGGGCGGCTAGACCGTGCCAGCTCAAGGACGTGCCTTGGGAAAACTTGCGGTACTTGGACTTTCCCTGGGAGTGGGCACACTCTGCAGGCCGTCTAGGTCCCGCCCTCCCGCAAGTACTGTCTGCTCTTCTGCGGGAGAGCGCTCTGCCCCCTGGCGCCTCAGCCCTGGCCTGGGGCTGGGGATGAACCCGGGGCGAGCCGCGCCCGCGCTATCGCTGGGCCGTGAGCCCATCAGGAGGCGGGGCGCCGCCGCGGCTGCCCTCGCGCGCGCCCATTGGTGGACGGCCGGCGTCCCGGGCGCGCCCATTGGCTGCAAGGGTCGCTCACGTGGGGGCGGGGGGCTCGGGGATGGCATCCCCATAGGTGTCCCGAAAGTTAAAGGGAGCAGCGCGGCGGCCGCGAGCCAGAGTCCCCCGAGACGGGCCACCACCCGGACACTACGCGGAAGCGGATGCCCGAGGAGGGCGCGGACCTGAGCCGAGGTGACCGCTGCTGTCCTGCAGCCTCCGCTCCTGTGCAGCCCAGGGCTGGAACTTCTGCACCTCGGGGCTATGAGCTGTGCCAGGTACGTCCCTCCGGAGCCGGGGAGAGCGACCCAAGGAGCGCGCACTGGGACCCTCGCTGCGCTCCCAGGGCCAACTTGCAGCTGCACTCGGAGAGGGTAAAACTCTGGGTCTCGAGTAAGCTGTTGCTTTCGAGGGTTGGGGGCAGGCCAGGGACAGCGGGCGGGCCGGAGCCTGGGGGTGTGTGTGGGAGGGAGTTAAACTTATGTTGGCACCCGAGTGAGGGGGACCCGGCCGCTAGAAGTGGCCGGGGGTAGGGTGCTGTGACTGGAGCTGGGGACTGCAGCTTCCCCTGTCCTGGACACGACTGTTCCCCGACGCGGCAAACTCCCTCCGGGGACCGCATCCTTCTGGAGGGATGTCTCCGGAACTGCGCGGTGGGGCCTGGAGCCCCAGGCAAAGTTTCCCTGGAAAGCACAAGGACACACACTTAGAAGGCTTGGACGGCTGCGAGCGTGAGGACTTAGGGTTGCCTTGGGACCTTACTTCCAAACTGGGGCTGACCCCGGCCAGCCAAGAGCGGCTGCTGCCCAGGGCGCTGGTGCGAGTGCGTCCCCGCCCGCCACCCGCCTCCGGAGATAAGTCAGGTTCCTCCTCCTACTGCCGGCCTCAAGCCCGGGAGCCCAGCCTTAGCCCTGCCCCCTGCCCCGACGCTCACGTAGGCTGGCGGTGGCGGCCCCTGCCACCTCCCTCCAGGCTCATCGATGCCTCTGTCGGGACGGGGCTTCGCTGGTCCAAAAGGTGGGTGCCAGAAAAGGCGAAGGAGACCCTCGGAGGAACTGGGTGAGGCGTGCAGCCCTGGCGTGCAGAAGTGAGGGGTCAGGGTTAGAGCCCGATGGGAATGGCCCAGAAGCTCTGGACTGTGAGCCGCTCCCCGTTGCCCGCTTCTGGTCCACTTTTTTTTTTTTTTTCAGAGAAGGGAATATACAAAGAGCAAGTTGCAAAAGTGGGGCCTGAGTATTTCAGGAGGACATTCTAGAAGCTTTGGGGCCTGACAGCATATAGTTTTCTGTAGGAGGCTGGGGACAATTGAGGAAACTTCTGAGAACTTGGGTTGCTGAAGTGTTGCTGGAGCCTGTGGTTTGTGTGTCTGGAAATCAAAGCTCTAGGGCTTGGACCGTGGAGAAGAAACCCTTCTTTTGGTAGGAGCCAGAACTCAAATGAAGACAGCAGAGGGCTTTCCACAAAGGAAGACGACCAAGGTGGGATGGGGGGAAATTAATGGAAGGAGCCATCAAGTATTATTAGCACCTTCACTGCAGTCCTGACTTGCCACAAGTGACGCAGGCTGTGGAGGAATTCCTGGACTCGGGTTCTGTGCTTCACCATGTATGTTTTTAGATTGTGGGGCTGCGTTTTTGGAATGACCCTTTTTCTATAACCTACAGCTCTGTTCACAGAGATTTATCTGGAAGGTGTTCTGAATGGAGGTATCTGCATGGGTGACTTAAGGGTGTCAGTAGGGACCCTGTGATCTGAATTCAAAGGGAAAGAAGTCAATTTGGGGGGGGGGGGGAAGGGGGCACTGCACCTGGCAGTGCTCAGGGCTTACTCCTGGCTCCTTGCACAGGGATCATTCCTGGCAGGACTTAGCATACCATATTCAGTGCAAGGCAAACTATACAATACTATATTAATCTAAACCTATACTAACTCCTTGATCCAAAGATGTCAATTTTATCCCTGCTCATTTCACCAATCCTTTAGAAATGCTGAAGGGGTAGATGTCCATGGTTTTTAGAATTATGATCTGGGGGCGCAGAACAAGAGTTCAGCAGGGTAGGACATTTGCCTTGCGCACAATCGACCTGGGTAGATCTCGTAGTGCCATATGGTCTCTTGAGTACTGCCAAGAGTTAATTCCTTAGTGCAAAGTCAGGAATAACCCCTGAGGGTGTGGTCCCAAAACCAAAAAAAAAAGAAAAAGAAAAAAAACAAGAGATGAAGAAAGAAAGAAAGAAAGAAAGAAAGAAAGGAAGAGAAAGTTTGATCTAGTTGTGTATGCTTTTCTGAAATGGGTAAGCTTCAGTACTCTTGATAGGCTTTGGGTAAAACTGGTTTTCCTCTCATTTCATTTCAGTGTATAAGAGAGGAGAATTTGCACTCATACAAACTCATGCGTGTGTATGTGTGTGCGTGCACACACACACTCCCTATAAAAGGCACAGTTCAGAAAGCTATGCCTTTAAACTCAACTGCCTTGAAACTGGAAAGGGCATGGAGCTATTTTCTGTACAAGACTGGTTTTTACCAGAAAGATCACTGTGATATCTAATGTCACCAAGCTGACTTGAGAAAATGTGTTACTTGTCATTGGAATGGGGAAGCAGGTATAGACTGTCCACACTCCCAGAAATCATAGTCTTCTCTTGATCCAGAACACAGTGATCTGTCCTTGGACATGTCTCTTGCTGGGCAAAACTGATCTCTTAGGTATCTATTTGGAGACCAGAGTTTTGAGAATCATACTGGTCTGAGGAACAGCAATTCCTATTCACAATCCTGTTCTGTAGTGACTTAGTATACTGGTCCTACACCATGCTCTTCCATTTCAAATGTGTCTCTGCACCTTCTGAATTATTTGCCCCCGATCCTGGGCCACTGTGGCCATTTTCCTTGGGCTGGGAAAGAGGTGACTATGGTCACACCACTGCAGAATTTGTGAGGAGAGGAAGTCTCTCATCCAGACTGGCAAATCCTGTGTTGGAAATGGTTGTATTTATGTCATCTGAGACTAAAACACCTATGTATCCAGGTACTTTCCTTTCAGGGACTTGAGAAACTATCATCCAATCCATCTTCATCAGTAAGAGTACTTCCATGAAGATCGTTGATATTCCAGCCCTTTGGGGGAGTTACTATAAGCAAAGGATCCGGAAGGCCCAAACCAAGCTAGTAATTTAGGGCACCATCTTTAGACAATTCTTCTGCTCAGAAAGGCTGGCATTAGTCTACCTGTGAGGACTGGGCAAAGCCCTAGCCCGGATAAGAGGCCAACAATCGGTGTCTTCCAATTGTATTGACATGGACATAGTGAAAGGGTTCTGGTCTGGCTTTGTGCAAGAGGAGCAATCAGTGGATCACATGGTGGTTAACCTTTTTGCCTTTCATGGAAAAATATTGCAAAACCAATTAGGCTCTAGAATGTGCCAGTCAAATTGTTTCATTAGCTTTGGATTTGGCTAGAACTTCCCCTCCCTACCACCTAATTTGCTTGCTCTGACACCTTGGTGAAAAAAGGATCTTTGGGGTGGGAGGTGGGGGAGGGGTTGTGGGAGGACCATATCTGGCTGTACTCAGGACTTACTCCTCCTGGCTCTGTGCTAAGGGATTATTCCTGGCAGTGCTGGGGGAATCACTGAATTGCTGGGGGGATCGAACCTAGGCCTCTTACATGTAAAGCATGTGCTCCAGCCCATGGGGCTCTCCAGTTTCAAAGCCTAGTCTTTAAAACCTGCAGGATTAAACCTTGAGAATGACTGTTGTAAGCTGCAAGCTTGAAGATTCTTTGTTTCTATACACTCTTGAGTTCCTAATAAGCTGTTTGAAAGTAGTGCAGGAAAGCACGTATGAGAATGGTCTGTGGGATCCTTGGAACGTGTGTATAAAGATAACCCACGTTTGACCTTGTCCTGACTCAAGCAGAGAGGAAGCAGCCATGGCCAAGGAGGACCTGCCTCCCAGAGCTTCTCTCTGCCAGAGTGGGAGGGGCTGACTGCCCTTTCTATTTTGCTTGCTAAAGCAAAAATGACCCAAACAAAAGTAACTACTCATGTTAAAGTTAGAGCTGAGGGTACAACTCTAATATATCTGAGTTTTGCAATGGACCGGGGGGAAACTAAAATTAAACTTGTAAGTTTAAGGACTGTGTATTTTATGTCGGTTTTATTTTTGTTGGGATGGGTGAGGCATGTACCCAGTTGTGCTCAAGAGTTACTTCTTCTGGGTCTATACTTTGGGATCACCCCTGGCTGTGCTCGGGACTGTGGGGTGCTGTGGTTTTGGAACAAGGCAAAGGTTGCATTCCAGACACTTGAATTGTCTCTCCTCAGACCCCAATTGCTTGTTTCAATTAAACCCCTTAGCCAATTTTCTGGAGTTCTTTGACACTATCTTCCCCAACTGACCTCCTTTGACACTATCTTGCCCAATTGGATCAGAACTTTCCTTTGCAGAACAAGTGCGAGGGTGCAGGAATGTGTAATAGCAGGTTTACCTCAAAGTTTGCGCTCATTCGAACTTGTAGAGAAGAAAGGTAAGGTAATACACTTGAAAATAAAGGTTTAAGATAATTGTATTTGGATGTAAATTATTGTTTTGTTTTTCTCTGAACCCATACCTTTCTCTATTAGTCACCACTAAGTATCCTTTGGTGTGTGTGCATATACACACACCATTTTGGTCTTTATATATAATTGTATCTTCTTCATGGTTTGCATTAATAATAAATTAAATTTGTTCTGTGCTATTTGATTTTTCCCCCAAAATGATATAAAATTTTATCACCATCTCATAGTTTAATGGGCTGGAGCACACACTTTATATCTGGGAGTTTAGTCCTCAACACTGTGTGGTCCCCCCAAACACCACTAGGAACGACCTTTGAGACAGAGCTGGGAGTGGCCCCTAAATTAGCACTGGGTATGCACCAAAACCAAAAAGTCTGACATGGGTGTGGTACATATAATTTGATCCAATACCTATGGATGGTCACTTAGAGCCTTTTCTCTGCCTTTCCCTTGTGATGTTGAACCTTTTGATACTTTAACTTCCTTGTAATTTTTGCTTCCTTCAGATTAATTGGAGGGTGGGAGATTAATTAGAACCAAAAATAAAAACCTTTAGAAAGATTGTCAAATTTAGACTACTACTCATATTTATATTATCTTTGTGCTATTGTTGTTTTTTGGGTCACACCCTGTGGTACTCAGAGCTGACTCCTGGCTCTGCACTTAGGGGTCACTCCTAGTGGGGCTCAGGAGACCATCTGGGGTGCCTGGGAACAAGCCTAGGCCTGACAGCATAGAAAGCAAGCACCTTATCCACTCTCTTTGGCCACTATGTGCATTTATTTTTCCACACCAGAAGAGCTCAGGGCTTACTCGGGGCTCTATGCTCAGGAATTACTCTTGGCAGGGGTCCAGGGACCATATGGGATGCCGGGGCTCAAACCCAGGTCTGTTGCATGCTAGGCAACTGCTCTCCCCACTGTACTATCAGGCCCTGATTTTTAATTTTTTTAAGGCAGTTTTAACCCAAGTGTGTTTCTTAGAACATGTGTGCTATTAGATACGCTCAAAAAAAATGTTTCCTACTTAGAAAAGTTTGGGGAAATTGGCCAGTGGTGAATTCTTTATAGGGAAACCATCCTTAACAAATTCTGATGTGGATGAGAAGAGGGCAGAGAGACTTAACAGGGGTAGAGCACTTTTTCTTGTATGCAACCAACCTGAGTTCGATGCCCAGCATTCTATTGTGGTCCCCCAAGACCTACCAGGAGTGATCCCTGAGGTCAGAACCAGGAATCAGACCTGAGTATGGCCAAGTTTTCCCCCCACCCTCCCAAAAATACCCCTAAAAATGAATAATTAATTTTCAAAAGGAAATTCTGATAGGGACTGGAGCAGATACAGTGCTTGCCTTGCACATAGCCAACCCAAAGATCCCGTGATCCCATATGGGCCCCTGAGCCCTGACAAGAGTGATCCCTGAGCAGAGTCAGGGAAGCCTTGAGCACAGTCAGATGTAATCCCCCAAACCCAAACAAACAAATTTTGATAGATGGGACCAAAGAGAACAGGGGATGAGGCATTTGCTTGCACACAGCTAACCCTGGTTCCATCACTCATGTGCCTCCCCCATCCACCCCTCCCTCTACACACGCACACACACACACACACACACACACACACACACACACACAAATTCACATGGTCTTGTCAGAAGCCAGTGTCAGGATCACCATGCTTAGGTGAGCACAACTTAGGCCTGTGGGCAGTGATGGATGGCAGGTGTCCCGGAGGTAATGATGAGTTTAAACCTCTATCTGATCTCATTGCAATTTCTTTCTTCCCTTTCTTTTGTCAGGGGTCTAGCCTTTTCCTCTAACCCCAATGATGGCCGTGGACATCGAGTGTAGACTCAGTTGCATGGCTCCTTCCTTGAGTAGAGAGAGGTTTGCTTTCAAGATCTCGCCCAAGCCCAGCAAACCTCTGAGGCCTTGCATCCAGCTGGGTGGCAAGAACGAAGCTAGTGGCATGGTGGCCCCGGCCATCCGGGAGAAAAAGGTGAAAAAGCGAGTGTCCTTCGCTGACAACCAAGGACTGGCCCTGACAATGGTCAAAGTGTTCTCGGAGTTCGATGACCCACTCGATATCCCGTTTCACATCACCGAGCTCCTAGACAACCTGGTGAGTCTGACGACAGCAGAGAGCGAGCGCTTTGTGTTGGATTTTTCCCAGCCTTCTGCTGATTACTTAGACTTCCGACACCGGCTTCAGACCAACTGCGTCTGCCTGGAGAACTGCGTGCTGAAGGACAAAGCCATCGCGGGCACTGTGAAGGTGCAGAACCTGGCTTTTGAGAAGCTGGTGAAAATCAGGATGACCTTCGACACTTGGAAGAGCTTCACAGACTTTCCCTGCTGCTACGTGAAGGACACGTACGCTGGTTCAGACCGGGACACATTCTCCTTCGACATCAGCTTACCTGACAAAATTCAGTCTTATGAAAGAATGGAGTTTGCCGTGTGCTACGAGTGCAGCGGGCAGACGTACTGGGACAGCAACAAAGGCAGGAACTACAGGATCATCCGGGCTGAGTTAAAATCTGCTCAGCGAACTGCCCAGCCCCCGAATGGAGCCGACTTTGAGATCTCCTTGGACCAGCTGGGCAGCCCTCGGTGCTCCTATGGCCTCTTTCCCGAGTGGCCTAGTTATTTAGGCTACGAAAAACTGGGGCCCTACTATTAGTGATGACTCAGACACAGCACAAGAGGTGGTACAGGCCCTGTAGCAGCAGCCATGGTGGGAGGGAGAAGAAGCCGAGAGCCTCGCTGAACTGTCATTGGGCTCCATTTGGGTAGAGGAAGGGTCCTTCCCCCCCTTTTTTTTCTTAAACCAGCCAGTCCAGCTGCAGGGAGAGCTCCTAAGTTAGGTTCTCAGTGTGAATGCAATGAGCTGGGTTTCTTGGCCCACATGGCAGCCCAGAGGGTGCAGGGTAAATTGGTGCCTGAGGGGCATATGCAGGGAATCCCAGGCCACAGGCACTAGCTGGTGAGGCTGGAGGATGGGGCGGAATAAGTGGGAGTGTGGTCATGGAGGGCTGCCTGGAAGAGCTGTTCCTCTTCCCCATTGGCCAAAAATAGAGTCACTCCATCCCACGCCCCTGCCACCACCCGCTGGCCTCTGGCCTCCAAGTGTCCTCCCCATTAGGCCCTTTATCCACACAGCTGTCCCATGTGCTCACATAGGTCACTCTATCTTCTGTGTATTTTTGCATTCTATTTCCTTCCACCAATCATCTGATCCTCTGGGGAGATGGAAGATCATAAAGGCAAATGAGCCTAGAATGAAGACAAGCACTTCCTCGTCCCGACCTCCCCACACAAGCAGAGGGAGAAGCAAGCACAGGGCACGGGAAGGGATGGGTACTGCCCAGCTCCTGGTTGCTGGACAGTGAGCAAACGGACACTTTCTGCTTTTCCTCTGGGCTTCTGCAGCGCTTTCTAAGTACTCTCAGCCTGAGTCACTGGCCAACTCAATGATGAGATTTGTTTTAACCTGCTTGGCTGGTTTGTCTGTGCCTCTCGTGTCTTCACAAAAAAATAAAAAAAAAGAAAGAAAGAAAGGAAAAGCTTGGATCCCCATCCCTGGATCCCTGGAGAGCTGTCTTTTAGGCTAGGTGCAGGACAACTGGATTTGCAGGTCTAGTCTGTCCTCAGAACTTGCAAGAAAAGTTTTTGTGGGTTTTGATGAACCCCTTTACCCGCCCCCCAGTGACGGGTTTTCTTATTTATGCTGTGTGAGGATGGAAAGGGTAAGGGAGTAATACATGTCTAAGTTGGTTCGGATTGCTGAAGTCTTGGATTGTTCGTTACTACATTGGACTCAAGAATTAAAAGCCAATTACTTGCTCTACTTGAGACTGCTGGGACTTTTGTCACATCCATCTCCCTTGGATTTTTCTTAGGTGAGAATGGTTTATATTTGGGAGTGGTGAATATTTTTATGTGTGTATTTTCCGAACAGGGAATTTGGGTCTTTGAGGTTTCTGGGTTTTGAGTTTGGTAAAATAACTGACTTGCTTTCCTTTGGCCCGATGGCCCTAAGGTCAGGACGCCTGACTGTGGGGGACAGAGGGTGGGGCATGGTTCCTGGATTCTGCATACAGAGCCTACTTTGGTTTGCATTTCCAGTCTGGTTCCAGCCCTCCCAACTTTGAGACCTTCTTAAATCTGTTGGGGAGCACTTGGAAAGCCTCATTCCTATAGTTTTGTGGGGGGGGGGTGGTTCCCCCCCCTTTTAAAAAAATTTTTAAAACATTTTTGTCTTTTGAATGCTCTTATGTGGTATTTGATGTCATTCTTGTTCCTGAAACTGGTGTTCCTAGTCTGTAATCTAGCACTTTCTCTATATGTGCCTCTTCCCAAAGATTAGCACTCTGCTACAATGAGAGTGTGATGTATGTCACAATCACAATTTTATTTTATGCTGAAACTGAGAACTGAGCTTTATCTAAGCATATCTGATATCAGATAAACAGATGAACAGCCAGGACTTTCAGTGACATAAAACAGAACTATTAGTTGTGTACCTTCAAATCAAATGGAAGCAGGAGTGATTTTACACAGGTAGCAAATATATCTGAAGATGCCCCCTCTGGCTCCCAATTGAGGAAAAGTATGAGCGTCCTCTGCCTTGTTCACACCACCAAATGAAAGGTAATGAGATCATTCTGTGTTTTTGTTTTTGATTGTGAGGGCATGGGTGGTCATACCTGGTAGTGTTCAGGGCAATTCCTGGCTCTTTGCTCAGGGATCACTCCTGACAGTGTTAGTAAGACCATATGTGAGGCTAAGGATTTAACCTGGGTAGTTCGCATGCAAGACAAGTGCCTTCCCTGCTGTTATTCTCCTCTCATTCTATGTTGCTGAGATGCCCAGAATGACTTTAGACTAAAATCTAAGGTCAATTTGGTTTTCAGGAAGAGTGATCCTAAAACATTCCCATGTCGAAATTTGAAATATGGTAATTGACAGTGTGTCTTTTAAGATCGCCACAGATCCCTGAAGCTCCCCCTTCTCTTTTTTAATCCCTGCTCACCCCAGCTTTTTTTCTGAAAACACTGACTGCTATATTCCCCCAACCCTTGCACTTGGGATTTGACCAGCAAGTCTTCACAACACTGGCACCAAGCTCTGTCTTCCGCCTCCCTGTCCATAATGTCCCGTGTTCCAGTGTTCCCAAGGAGCGACACTGGGAGGGCCAGCGTTGTGTGCTCTTTCCCCAGCTGGAACTCTCCCCCAGGTCTGGAAATCATCAGGTGTTCTCGGGAACTTTCCCCAGTGGGTCTCTCCTAAGGCCAAGGTCACCTCATTCAGAGTGAACGCCACATCACAGAGAAGCCGTGTCATACTTGGTGTCATACTTGGTGCCATCAGACACTTTTGGTTATGGAAATAAATGGTCTGTCCCATGGGGCACACCTCCTGGCCCTGCTGTGACTTGTGTGGGGAGTGGTCTCTGCTCCATTTGTGATTCCTATTTTTTTTTAATTGAATCACCATGAATTACAAAGTTACAGTTATTCATGATTGAGTTAGGGGGACAATGTTGCAACACCAATCCCTTCACCAGTGTCCACTTCCCTCCCCAGTTTCCCTCCTGCCCCGCAGCTTGCCTCTATGGCAGGCATTTTTTTCTATTTCTTGTCCATGTCCTCCAGAGAGCATTTGCTAATGAGACACAGTAAATACTCTGGAGTGTGTAAGATCTGTAGCTTTCAGTGTTTCTTGGAAGAAAGGGAACATGTGAGTGGGTTTCTCTTATTTCTCTTTAGATGTTCTTGTTATTGGGGAACTGGTGAAAAATCAGAGACTCTAGCATTTTCCAGAAATGCCAAAAAAAATTTAGAGTCGAAAATGAATTTGTTTTTGTCTTTAAAATTTCATTTTGATGGCAGCCAAAACTTACTCCTTCAACACCTTTTTATTTTTGAAAATGTACATTTTAAACTGCTGAGAAAATGCTTTGTGATTTGTGATCTCTGCATTTAATTAGCTTTTTAAAAAAAATTGACATTGCTTATAGTCACCTGAACATTAAATATATGTGAGGGAAGGGGGTGGTGTGCGCGCGTGTGTGTCCCAAAACTGTGCTTTCTGCCTCTGTTTTTAGAAGCTTAGAAGTTTTTTGGGTCTTCACCTCTCTGTTGACAGTGAGTGGAAACCCTAGTGGTCTTTTCATCAGTTTCTAGACCGAATGTGGTTTTTCCAAGCAACCACGTGACTCCGTGAGATCGAGATCGACTTGTCTCTACTGATTTTATCAGTAAAATTCAGCATCAAAAGTTACATATGTAATGGGGTCACAGGGTTCTCTGAAGACTGAAAACTTTATTTCCTGATGTGGAAGTCAATTGGGATGGTGCAGGATTGCTGTTAGGGGCAGTTATTCTGTGGGAAAATTTTAAAGCGTTCAGCCCACGGGGTAAAGGCTGTGAATGTTTCCATGGGGCTTGCTTGTGAGTTCCTAGCGACAGCTGAGCTGTGAGGACTCTAAGACCTCAGCTGTGAGGTCGTGGTTTCACTTTACTTCCTCGTGAATGTAGAATCCAAGACTCATCTTCCTTCAATGCCTACAGGTGCCTTGTCAAGAAATTTCCACAGGTTTTGAAAAAAAAATATTTTTGTACACAAAGTTTAAGGGGAAATACACTTGATAATCATAAGAGTGGATGTATTTTGTGTGATATCTGAGTGATTGGTTTGTATCTCAATTGCAGCAAATGTAATAAAGGTAGAAAAAAAGAAAATTGACACTGTCTTTTTTCTCTGTCCTATTTTTGAATCTGGCCACTCTTGGCATCAGAGGGCGGGAGCAATATTTTCAGTTGATGTTTCCATGTGTAGAGCATCTGTTTTCAAAGGAGAAGATCACAATCGGTGATGGTTGACAAAGTTCTACGGCACAGACAAGGGACTCCTTGCTTTTAGTGTGTCAAGCAATGAAGACTGTTCAGAACTGAGCAAGCAAGAGCAGGGTCAGAAGCACAGTATGGGGTGACTCCCAGCTCAGTGCTCAGGGATGGCTACCAGTGATGCTCCAGGGAGACTATGATATGCTGGGATAGAACTTAGGACCTTCCACATACAAGACACATGCTTGAGGCATATATTCAGTCTAAGGTATTCACACAGTGGTGGGGAAACTTAAGTGATTACCATAGCTTTTATTAGCTTAATCATGCAAACTAACCAACAAATATCAACCAGATTCTGGTGGAACCTCCCCCTCTCTTGCAGGCGTTATCAGATATTTGGTCTCAGTAAGATTTCCAGAGAGTTTTATTGCAATGTTGTGCAGGTAAGTTCACAGTGGTGAACTAGACCAACTATGTCAAGCACTGCACATTGAATCGGCCCAGACTCCCAAGCCCAGGCCACCATGGCTGAGTGCTGAGAAAGGGCACGATTCAAGCCATGCATCTGGTAGGGAATTGCAGAACTCTAAGCAACCGCATACAAAACAGCCCTTCCTGAGCGTGTCAGACAGGACGGAAATGGAAAGGGAAGAAAAACACAACCCGGTTTATGAATGTCTGAGACTTGGTGAGATTTCCATAATCAGTATATAATTCTAACTTGTGAGACAGATGTCGAAGTGAAAGAGGGAGGGAAATTAACATGTTTCTAGAGCAGTGTCTCCAGAGAACTCAACAGTTCTCTAAAGAACTCAGTAGGACTTTCCATATCCACCTGTGCAAGATGCTGGAGACCATGAGAAATAGGGTACTGCATTTCCAGGTATGTGGAGGACATGGAGCCTGGCCTGACTACACCTGCTATCCGCATCAGCTGTCCTACTCAATGGAATCTGCTACTAGCAAAATAAAGTGACTTTTTTCCTGGGAATTTTTGAGAGCACCAATTCATTTTTTGAAATTCTCCCAAAGGTGAGCTTCTAAAAACAGTGAGACGGAGGGAGGGAGATAGGAAGGGGGGAGGGGGGAAGGAGAGAGAGAGAGAGAAGTGCCTGCCATAGAGGCGAGCAGGAGGCAAAAGGGACATTGGTACTGGGAAAGGTACACTAGTGAAGGGATGGGTGTTGAAACATTATATGACTGAAACACGGTCATGAACAACTTTGTGATTGTGTATCACTGTGATGTCATTTAAAACATAAAATTAAAACAAATTTAAAGTGAGTCTCTCAGTGCAGATCAAAACAACAATGAGATATCATCTCACACCAGAGACTAGCCCACATCCAAAAGAACAAAAGTAACTGGTGTTGGTGCGGATGTGGCGAGAAAGGGACCCTCCTTCACTGCTGGTGGAAATGCTGACTGGTTCAACCCTTTTGGAAAACAGTATGGACGATTCTCAAAAAATTAGAAATCGAGCTCCCATTTGACCCAGCAATACCACTCCTGGATATATATCACAGATAGGCAAAAAAGTATAGTCAAAGTGACATCTGCACTTGTTTGTTCATTGCAGCACTCTTTACAATAGCCAGAAAAAACCTGAGTGCCCAGAACAGATGACTGGTTAAAGAAACTTTGGTATATCTACACAATGGAGTAGTATGTAGCTGTTAGAAAAGATGAAGTCATGAAATTTACATACAAGTGGTACTACATGGAAAGTATCATGCTAAGCAAAATGAGTCAGAAAGAGAGAGAGGGAAAAACTCTAGAAAGATTGCATTCATCTGGGGAACATGAAGTAACAAAATATGAGACTAACACCCAAGAATAGCCAAGATAAGTGCTAGGAGGTTCACTCCATGGGTTGGAGGCCAGCCACACATGCTAGGGGGAAAGGAAGCTCAGATAGAGAAGGGAGCACCAAATAAAGGGTGTTGGGAGGATCCTCCCAGGATGGGAGATGCATGCTGAAAGTAGACTATAGACCAAACATGATTGCCACTCAATGCCTCTTTTGCAAACCATAATATCCAAAAGGAGAGAGAGAACAAAAGGGAATGCCCTGCCAAAGAGGCAGGCCAGGGTGGGATGGGGGGATGGGAGGTAGGAGGGATATTGGGATCAGTGGTGGTGGAAAATGGGCACTGGTAGAGGGATGGGTACATGATCATTGTATAATTGAAAACCAAGCACAAAATTTGTAAATCTACAACTGTACCTCATGATGTTTCACTAATAAAAATTTTAAAAAATAAATAAAATGAGCCTCTCAGAATGACCAGGGACATGGTTCACTTTCCTCATAAGAATCACAGGCACCAACTGCTCTCCAAGGTTTGAACTTTGTCATGCTCTGTGTGTATGAGTTCAAGGACTCTGGAGCACTTCTGATCCATGAAAATCTGG